GGGGGGGGGGGGGGTACCAGCAGTGGAGCAAGGGTGTTTTTTAATGGAGATAACGTTATGTCGTTGTCTTGGGGAAGAAGAAGAGCTTTATTTTATTAAAGGAAAGCAGTATTGTACTGCGTTTCCCTTTAATTAAATATAGGTGGGCCCAATATTAATAGGGAAACACAGTACAATACTGGTATTACACTGCGTTTTCCTTTAAAAAAATTAATTTTTTAATAATACGCAGTATAGTACTACGTTTTACTTTAACGGCTAACTTTCCGTTAAAGTAAAACGCAGTATTATACTGCATTTTAGTTATTTATGTAACTTTTTTTTAGTAGTAGAAATATATTTTTTGCTCAAAAAGGCATTAGAAAAGTTTCGGACTCAATATATAAGTGGTTAACACCTTAAATTTCATCTTCGATCAAACAATGTTACGCGAATAATTAATAAAACGAAAAAAAATATTTACTACTTACTTTGATACTATTTCAAATTGCTATGTCAGAGAAGGATAACAACTATTATTCTAAATAATTGGTCCCACGCTTCTAAATTTGTACTAACTAAAGGAGTAATTGATACTCTGTGCTTGACTTGCGAGTCAATGCTTTTTGTTGTCTTGTATTTATATTAAAAAATTAATTAACACATATAAATAATTTATCCACAAGACAATAAACTACATTTTCTAAAATTCAAATTCATAAACTCAAAATTCTAATTTCTGTCTCTCATTTTAGTCATAATTGCTTGCTTGTATTCCACATTCATCAACTAATGTACGTATATTGTCCTATTTCTTCTGGACATTAATATGCAAGTAATGTCTTTGTCAATTGTCCGTATGATGGACCAGTAAATTAGATGTTAAATATAAACCGTGAAAAAAATCCGTTAACAACAACAACAACGACGACCCAGTATAATCTCACAAATGAGGTCTGGGGAGGGTAATATGTACGCAGACCTTACCCCTACCCCGAAGGGTAGAGAGGCTGTTTCCAGGAGACCCTCGGCTCAAAAAGCAATAGGAGCCGATATATTAGTACCATAAAAATGCATAATAAAATAACAACAATACAAGAGATATGAAATACAGAATACGAAATACGAAAAAGATGGCTGGTATAGTAAAACTAGCAGGTAAAACCCTGCATCAATAGACGACCAATGACATTCTTAGTCTAACTCCTAACTGGCTAGTCTCACTCTATTGTGCTGTAGAAATATTTACAACTCTCCCCTAACCTACAACCTTAAAACTCCCTCCATAATTCCCTATCAAGGGCCATGTCCTCAGTAATCCTAAGTCGCGCCATGTCCTGTTTGATTACCTCTCCCCAATACTTCTTAGGCCGTCCTCTACCTCTCCGCGTGCCCACTACAGTCAGTCGCTCACACCTCCTCACCGGTGCATCAGTGCTCCTCCTCTGAATATGCCCGAACCATCTCGTATTTATTTAATCTTCATATTATAATTTCAATATAACTTGTTCCCGAATCAAACGAGCTCTAAGGGTATATGAGTATGGGTAGGCGATTGTTAAAACCTTCAACATCTTAGTTCTCACCGGATGAATAATCAAAAAAAAATAAAAAATTAGCAATCATTAGAATGCAACTCCAACTTTGCTCCCGAAAGTTATTATACAGTCATACCCCTCTATAACAACATCGCTATATATCAACTATTCACTATAAAAATCAAGTTTTTTATGGAACGAATTGTTATGCTATATTATACCCCCTCTGTTTTAATTTAAATGACATACTTTTCTTATTAGTCTGTTCCAAAGAAAAATATTCTATATTTGGAAATAATTTTATTTTTTTAAAACTTGTTTTACTCTTAATGATAAACTTTTATAGCCACAAAAATGTTATGGCCCCACAAACTTTGTCACTTAAGCATTTAGGACCACATGTTTCAAAAGTTTCTTCTTTTTTCTTCTTAAACTTTGTGTCAAGTCAAACTACATCATTTAAATTGAAATGGTTCTCTATAATAATATTTCACTATAACAGCTAAAAAAATCTGGAACAAAAGAGGTTGTTATAGAAAGATTTAATCGTATTATTATTTATTATACTTAGTAATTACACTCCTTAGGATACGTCCTTCATGAACGTGGATTGCTTGGTACATCGGGGATCTTTTGTTACACTTGGTAATTCTTTTAGTTCTTCTTTTTGGGTGTCATGCCAATTTATATAAGTTAACTATGATACACTTAGACAAGTAACACAACACAATCTTGTAAAAAATAAAAACACCACACAATAAGAATTTTTTTTAATAAGTAACTTTCAAAACCTCATTATTGAGTACTATAATATAACATTATTGATGTCATCACATTAATACAAGGTGACTAGATATGAGCATATATCTCAAACATTAGCCTTAATAGCAGAGCTATAACCATTGTCAAAAAATTTAGACCAAAGCATAACACCCCCATACTTAGGTGAACCATTAATTAATGGTAAAACCTGAGAAACAAGAACATCAGATGGTATAAAACCACTTCCAGCAGCTCCTTGAGCTGCCGGTAAACTGAGAAAAATTTTTCCAGCTTGAATCGCGTTCCACTGATTCCAGTAACTTTTTAAATTGTCCGCGCTTCCACCGGAGTATTGACACGGTGGATTATTGTAAAATTGAACCCAAACATAGTCAAATAAGCTAGTGGAAAGTGCACCATTTAAAAATGTATCTGGGAATGAACATTGTGGAGCTGCAGTTAAATATACTTTCCTCTGTTGGCTAAATTGTGATAAAGCTCTTGCTAATTCATCCCAATGTTGTGTTGTCCCTCCTTCTATATCAAAATCAATTCCATCTAGAATTGCATCTCCTAGTGGACGTGTGTTTGATTGGCCTCCAAGATAATTGTTCCACAGATAATTTGCTACACTCCTGCAATGTTTTTGACAAATAATTAGCACATAATTTAGGAAAGAAAAAAAGACTTAACACATTCTAGAATTACCTTTAGAATTGTGATCTTAAACATGTCATATATTTATACGGCTATAAAAGCATGCGACTAAGGGAATAACGTAAAATGAAAAGTTGAAGAGTTTTGAAATACAGAAAGGTATCATTCTTTTTAGAATAGACTATTAAGTAAAGAATATCATATAAAATGTAACGAAGAGAGTACTATATTAGATGAGTTTTCCTTATGTGTCAATTCATTTAATATTCGAGAATGGAGAAATTCTTGGTAATGATTGTGTCACCCTTAATCAGCCCTATGCGACGAAAATCTGAATTAGTCGTGGTAAAATGGAGAAATTCTTAATAGGGAGTGTGTCATCCTTAATAGACCCTATGCGACGAAAATCTGAATAAGTCGGGCAAATGGGTTCCTGTAATTATTTGTCGGGCTCAACCAGCCTAGATAATCTTAACAAGATGTGATATTGTCCGCTTTGGCCTAAACCCCTATGGTTTTCCCAAAAGACCTCCCGCCATTTAGAGTATCCTTACACTTTATATGTAACTTCCCAATCTTTTCAGCTATCACCAACACTTCAGAACACCAGATGGTTAAATCAGGAAAAAATAATATTCATATAATAGTAGATAATTAAAAAAGAAGAAGGAATAATAGATGGAAAGACTAAATTATTGGATAGATTATGTCAAGATTGAGAAGCATACATGTTATTTATAGTTGGTGGATGTGTACTTGCTTGGTATTTCGTGGAAATTTACATAGTTGACTTGAGGTCAACTTTCTGTTAAACATCCACTGAATGCGGGTTCAGGAAAGGGCCCGACCACAAGGGTCTATTGTACGTAGTCTTATCCAGTATTTCTGCAAGAGGTTGTTTTCACGGCTTGAGCATATAACCTCCTGGTCACATGACAACAACTTACCAGTTACGCTAAGACTCTCATTCGTCTTGTTTATGTAAGCAAAAACTAAAGTAAGATTTCTAGATATATTATAAGTGTGGTTCAATTCTTACTATCCTTTTTTTTTTTTTAATTCTTCCTCTTTCTCTTTCCCTCGTTGTAATGGAATTTTTTTTTGTAGTCTCTATTCTTTTTCCATAATCGTTGGGTCGTTTGGTACGCAGGATAAGGTGTGAGATTAAGTGGGCGTTTGGACATAAGAATTGTAAAATTACAAAAAAAGAAGAAGTGAAAATGGTATTTAAAAATTAGAGTTTTGTTTTGACATGAATATAATTTTGGATTTTTTTTGAAGTTTTGTGAGTGATCTAAGTGAAAATTTTGAAAAATAGCTTTTTAAAGTTTTTCAAGTTTTCGAAAAATTCCAAAATTCATCTTCAAGTGAAAATTGAAAATTATATGGCCAAACACTGATTTCGGAAAAAAGTGAAAAAAAATCTTATATCCAAACAGGCTCTAAATTTATATTGTGTTTGGTTGACGTTATAGATTTATCTTAGGATAAATTTATACCGTCAACCAAACACAATATAAATTTAATCTCACAGACTTAATCCTAGATATTCCACCTTATCCCTTTAAACTTAGGATTAGTTTATCCTACCTCTTAGGTGGGATAAAATTAGTCCAGGAATTATAATCCCACGACTATAACCCCGGAATAATTTAGTGTGCCTACCAAACGACCCCGACAGTAACATATTCCAATTGGTGAAGAAAAATAAAGTTAAGAAAGAAATAAAAGGACTAAAGAAAGTGTATATCCTAGTAAATTTATGAATGGTACCAAGTCTCTTCCAGTTTCTCATGTTCCAGTTGGTTCAAGGAAATTTCTCGAGGACTTAATTTTCAAGACTTTAAGGTTGTAAACAGTATAATCATTATTGGATTAAGACAGAAGCTAGTATTTTTCTTGTGCAAAATTTCAAGAGTTCCCATTTGTTGACTTTAGAGCTTGTAATACAAGGGAATATAACAGTGCCGAAGCCAGATGTGTTTTCAAGGATGTTCAAACTTGAAAGAACTATAAAGAAATTTCCGACAAACAGTGTTCAATATATATTTTATACATCTAAATTCAATATTTTACTTATATATACAATATAATTTTTTGTAATATTTTGATGAAGGGTGGTCAGTTAACCACCCTTTATAAAAGGTGGCTTCGCCCCTGGAACATAAAAGCTAAATTTCCACGAACACTAGAATTTCTTGACTAGGTAACAATCTGGTTGTGTGATATATACACTAATTTTCAGAGGCGCCGTCAAGATTTAAAGTTTATGGATTGTGAATTTACAACTGAATCCATAACTCATTAGTTACTGGGTTCACAATTAAGTATTTACACATATTTAATAGATTTTCTAATACAAATACAATACCTAAGCAAAAAACTACTAGGTTCATCCGAACCCATAATTAATATTCTCCCTCTGCCCCTGCTAGTTTCTAGCTACACACAAATGGCGTATATCCCATATTAATTAGTATACACTTTTAAAAAATCATATTTTATTAAAAAAAATCTAGTTTTGAATCATGTGTCACTAGCCTTCGGAGATTCCCCGGTTATCAGAAATAATGTTCTACTATTATTTTATGAATGACACATTATTTTTACATATCATTGCATATTTCTAAAACGGAGAAGGGTAAAAAATATCCCTCTACTATGCGAAAAGGATCATATATACCCTTCGGAATACTATCTGTCCATAAAAGCTCCCGACGTCCTAAAATTGGTATAAAAATGTCTTGTCCTCCCTCCGTTAGGACTTCCACCATGTCCAATATCATCCCACATGGCCTAACATTTTGGTGAGATAAGCGCCACATGGAAATGCCACTTCACCCTCCTCCCGCTCCGCTACTTCTTCCTTCACCACCACCTTCCTTCACCCAACCACCACCACCAACATTACCCAACATTAGACAAGAGGGGTTGCTCTGATGGTAAGCAACCTCTGCTTCCAACCAAGAGGTTGTGAGTTCGAGTCTCCCCAAGAGCAAGGTGGGAAGTTCTTAGAGGGAAGGATGCCGGGGGTCTATTTGGAAACAGCCTCTCTACCCCAGGGTAGGGGTAAGGTCTGCGTACACACTACCCTCCCCAGACCCCAATAAGTTGGATTATACTGGGTTGTTGTTGTTGTTGTTGTTGTTGTTGTTGTTGTTGTTTTATAAGCACTACCACCCACTCTCATAATCAATAAAACAAGTGGGATGATGTCCATGTCGTTTGAGGGAGTGATATCATAATTAATCAAACAAGTAATTTTGTCAACAGATGTCACAATTTATAGAAAAATTCATTGAGAGAGTTCAATGTACTGTCAAAATTCTTCCTCAACATAACTCTTTTACCTTCTCAGGAGTCGATGCTCGGGAATAGGTTAAAATGAAAAAGCATTTTGGCCTCTTTTAATTTGAACTCTTCAACGAGTGACTCAATACTATTGAGAAAATAAACCAGTTCATCATTGATAATAGTTTAGAAGTTTTCATATTTATAAGGTTTGAATACCAAAGTTTCATCACAGTGATGGAGAACCCTTTTTACCAAATTACTGATGACGATGAAGCAAGAAAGAGAAGAGAGGATGATGACTGATGAAGCAAGATGTAGAAGAGAGAATGATNGATGATATTGGACGTGGTGGAGGTCCTAACAGAGGAAGGATATTTTTGTACCAATTTTATAACGTCGGGGACTTTGATGGATAGAAAGTATAGTGGAGGATATATATAATCCTTTTCGCATAATAGAGGGATATTTTTGACCCTTCTCCGTTTCTAAAATTCATTTCCTTGTGAAATTTGGCTGCTACTTTTTATGTGACCTGATTTATGGATATAGTAAAATTTCATTGTGACTCCTCATTTAGAGGGGACATCACAAATTGAGATGCAATTAATGTCTTATTGCTGCTCATTCTACTTTATTAGCAATGAATCGCATAAATAATTGAGAGTTATAAATATGTTTAATAAGACTTATAAATTCATAAAGTCCACTTATAAACGCATTCGTAAAATGCGATTTATAAAACGCATACTTGTCTAATCGCGTTGGCCTAGAGTACAAATCGTTTTCTATACATCGTATTGGCAGATTGCGACTTATAAGTTGCATTTGCTAAATGCGACTTAAAAGTGGCATTTCTTATATGCGACTTATAAAACGCATGTTCCATATGCGACTTATAAATCATATTCCGTATATACGATTTATAAATTGACTTCGCTTAACTCACACGGCTTACAAATCCAATTATATATGTTACGTGAAATCCTTAAGAACAAAAGTAAGATAGGATATTGATTGAGCAATCGCTCATGTACCCGCCACCTTCAAATCCAGCATCTGCTAACAGTTTAGAAATTAAATTCAAAGTAATACAACCAGTTTGATAACATGATGTGCAAAATATTGCAATGCAGATGTGAAAAAAAAGAGAGAAATGACATAAACCTATCACATCTATGAGGAAAAAAATAATTTTTCATTTGATTTCTTTTTTCAACAGAAAATGACATGTCGAATACTTAATGTGCACCTTAGTCCACTGCCACGTGTCAAGAGCACTAGAGACAAAAGGGTAAATTGGTCTTTTCACAACTCTTGTGGCTGCAACGCTAGCTCATTTATTAACAACTTCTGCATAACACCAAAATCAAATAACCCTTTTTCAATTTAGGGTTTCAACCTCAAATCTATCATTTTCCACAAAACAAAGAGAGAGAGAGAGAGAGAGAGAGAGAGAGAGAAGAGAATTAACCAAATCAAACAAAGATGCCGAAGAACAAGGGTAAGGGAGGTAAGAACAGGAAAAGAGGAAAGAACGAAGCTGACGATGAAAAAAGAGAGCTTGTTTTTAAAGAAGATGGACAGGAATATGCTCAGGTTTTACGTATGCTTGGTAATGGACGTTGTGAAGCTATGTGTATTGATGGAACAAAGCGTCTTTGTCATATACGTGGTAAGATGCATAAAAAAGTTTGGATCGCTGCTGGTGACATCATCCTTGTTGGTCTTCGTGATTATCAGGTAAAAGATCCAATTTTTACCTTATTTTTTCAATACCCTTTTATGGTATTTGTTAATTTTGTCTCCTGGAAACAGCCTCTCTACCCTTCGGTAGGGGTAAGGTCTACGTAAATATTACCCTCCCCAGACCCCACTTGTGGTATTATTATGGGTTGTTGTTGTTGTTGTTGTTGTTGTTGGTATTTGTTAATTTTGTTTATTTCCAGACCCCATTTGTAGGATTACATTAGGTTTGTTGTTGTTTATTTTGTGTATTTGTGTTGTGAAATTTGTTGTTTTTTTTAAGGTTGTCTTTTGTGTGAAAAAAGTTTGGTGTATTTTTTGTTCGTGCCAAGATGCTTTTTTTTTTTGGATGATGGTGGTGTCTGGGATAGCTCGCGCCCGCCTCCCATCAGCACCAAGACTTGGGCAGATGGGCTGTGGGCGTGCCAAGATACTTTTTTTGGATGATGGTGGTGGTCGGGATAGCTTGCGCCCACCTCCCATCAGCACCTAGACTTGGGCAAATGGGTGTGCCAAGATACAACAACAACGAAAAAACCCAGTATAATCCTACAAAGTGGGATCTGGGTAGGGCAGAGTATACGCCGACCTTACCCCTACCTGAAAGGTAGAGAGGCTGTTTTCGATAGACCCCCAGCTCAAGGAAGATGGGCGTGCCGAGATGCTTTCTTTTTTGTTAGTATCTGCCACTTCTATAAAAGTTGGGTGTAAACTTACCGAAGTGGATTTGGGATTTAAACTTGGTGGGTTCAACTCTAGGTGTCTTAAGACTGAATCTATTGCATTTATTGACATTTATGTATACAAATAGCTCGGGTGTATTAGGATATGACTGTTGATTGCATAGTTTTTCTATTGAAAGTATAGACGGATTGAGGATTTGAAGTTATTGGAGCACCTACTACTACTTTGTAATAGTATGAACGTACTACTGTTGCAAAGAAGTAGGTGTAATAATGTGTCTGTGTTTGTGTGTGTAGCAGGGATGTCGGAATTAGGGAAAGGATATGTCTTTTCTTCTAACTCCTTCAGGGTTGGTTGGTTTTTAGTAAAATAGTGAAGGATATTCCATTAGAAATGAAAAGAAGTAGTATTTGTTTTAACATAAAAAAGGAATAAAGAAGTTCCCAAGGGTGTGGGAGTGTGTGTGTGTGTGTT